CTAGCACTTTTGTTACATCTGTTCATCATGCTTCTCATTATTGTCTGCAGCAAAAAGAAAAAAGCCATGTGGTTCTTTCAGACAGGCATACTAATACCTGCAAAATGAAGGAATTTCTGTGAATGGTCCATATGTAAAACTCCAGTCAATATTTGTTTGGATAAAGTGGTTAGGGTTAGATACTTTGTCAAGTTTTTATTGCTGTCTGGGTCTTCACTGGGAAACTTTCGCAATGGGGAGATGGACAGCAAAAAGGAGAACGAGTATGATCATGGGATAGAACGGCACATACACTAATAGAAATCTAAAAATTTTTATAACCCTGTTCTAATATTGTCTAATAACGTAAAGCCTGAACTGGGGTTCTACTTTAACTTCACTAATATTGTTGGCCATTTCAGACTGAGATAAATGTGCATGGAATTTAACTAACACTTTCCCTTTAGGAAGACTGCAATTCATAGGAAGATACAAGATTTCTAGGGTCTCTCCAGTCACCAGTTAGCCATATGAGTGGAATCCAATGGAGCTCCTGTTTATACTGACACAAAGGGTTAAGATGGAAGAATTCCTGCCTCTTGTACAATACTTATTAAGAAATAACCATTTTGGCATGTATAGCACTTAAGACAGAGATTGTTCATTTCCAATCACAACCCTTTTCTAAGGGTCTATGTTGACGTCTTTTGGGCTTGTGTTGATGACATGAGTTTGAGACTGTTCTAAGATCATTCAAAATTTTGTGACAGGTGTGTTGGATTGCAGTTGACAACTTTATGACCCTCATTTTACTTGCTTTTTTGCATTCTCCAAGGCGTGAATGGTAATACAAAATTTGTGTAGCACAAACAAAAGCTCCTTGACCCAGGTCAAAATACGTTTGTGATAATTCATTACAGCCTGAATTTACTATCTCCTCTAACTAATGAAATAGCCTACCCTTTTGATTGCACTGTTTCATAAAAGAGAATAGTAGGCCTCATTTAATGTATGAACTATGATTGGCACGGTTCCCAGAGCCCCAGATCTATATCCAACTACTGACCCTAATGCATCACCATCAGGCCTTTATATATTTGAACAAGAAGGAGAAAAATCCAACTGCAAACTACATTTGAGTGTAAACTCCCTGCTCTGGTTAAATAAAACGAAACAACTTCTGCCCAGTAAATGTCAAGCTTTCCCAAGTGTAGACCGTCCAAGGCAGCTTTTCTGAACATATGTTCAAAATATTTCCTACTCAAAACACACCAAATATGTTTCACAATTACAGAATCGGATTTCAGTTTGAAAAATGTTCCAGTTTTCTTTGCTGAATCACACACCACACAGAGGACTTGGTAAAAGTAAACTCGTGCCTGAGAAAATAGCAGAATCACGGAATACTTGTCAATTTTTCCTCACAGAAAGCAGTATTTTTTTCTCTTTGTTGCAATTATTTCTTTATTGGTATTGAGGAGATATAAAATATTCACACAGCATAGCCTGTTGTGTATGAAAGTGCTGAGTCTTCATGGTTACACAGGGATCCTGCCGACACACAGATATAAATGCAGTGTTGCATGACACCTTACTAGACTTCCTACATGAGCTCCTCCTGGCGTTCTCTGAGCTGGTAGAAGATTTGGATTAAGCTGAATGACAAGTGCTCAGTGCATTGCATTACAATCAAAGCAGACTACATTGTCTAAAGGTGCTAACACTACAGTCCCCATTTGACTGTGTTGGTCTCTCTGGTGAGAGAACATCAGATTACAGATTCAGCAAGGGGGCTAGATGCAAGCCTGCTCTTCATCTCATTGCAAGCTAAAGTATTGGGCACCAGAGCATTAAATTTTATTATCCACATTTCCATATCTGCCAATAAAGTTAGACAAAGCACTTCATTAAAAATGTCAGGCAGCCTAAAAGGGAGAGACAGTGGTTCTGCACATGGAGGTTGCTGGGGACAAACAAGTTCTGCGGGACAAAGTGGTGGCTAGACTACAACATCTAGAGGCAGGGCACATCTGCCTTTTTTAAATTTAGAGTGGTTTTGCTATACAGCCACAGCATACACAGACATAGCTGACAAGAGCCTTCCTCGTCTTCGTCCCCCAGGCACAAAGCGGTCTGTTGTCTGCAACTGCTGCAATTTCACCCTCTTCTTCTTCCTCCTCCTCTTCTGTTATTCCTGCCATAATCCACAAACTGATCACACAATCACTGACTTCCTGCAGAAGGATGATCTCTGTCACACGCAAGTATTCCTTGTTTCAGATATTGAGGATATAGAAGATACTGTTAGGACCATGGAGGGACATCAGGCCAGGAACAGCTTGCTGTTCCTGGCCTGATGTCCCTCCATGGTCCTAACACTATCTTCTATATCCTCAATATCTGAAACAAGGAATACTTGCGTGTGACTGAGATCATCCTTCTGCAGGAAGTCAGTGATTGCAGAATGCTTCAGCAACTGGAATTTACTGCCAAATAGGCTCCAGCGTTGAGAAGGGATGGATGCTGAGGTGACAGACTGTGTGTAGGTGCCATTGACTGGAGAAAAGGAAACTACTATATGGCCACTATACATGGTCATATATGACCAGTGTTCTCCTGAAATGCAGCTCTATTACAAGCTGCCTGTCAACCTTCTGATCTGTGGCAATCCCACATGCTAGAACTCAGCGTTGGCCATGCTGCAGAGACTTCTGTAGCAGTATGGCATCAATGAGTATCTGTGGAATTACGGTATAAGAACAGGCTCTGGAAGGCTGGGGTTCTTTTCATTTAGTAAGTGTGTAGCATTTTGCCACCTTTTAAAACATTAACCAGAAGGTGGGGATTAGTGAAGTTTATTAATATAATCCCTCTTGTGTTCTTCCTGGAGCACACATTCCATGGCCTGATAGACCAGTTACTGGAGCAGGAGGAAAAGAATAACATTGCTTTCTCCAGCAGGATTATTTGCTTGGATCCATCTCTGTGAGTCAGAGGCAGCATGATGTAGAAGAGGAATATGGGTAGGAGGAAGGTTTGGATGGGGTTGGATGCTAGTGGTGAGAATGCTAGTGGTGAGAAGGGGGATAATTCACGCCTCCCAGACTTTGAGCATAGGTGCGGTGAGATAGTTGAGGACAGTGTTGCCCTCAGTGACTGCAGTCAATCTGTGGCAAATGGACTTTTGTGACTATTATCGCTCAAATAATACACTTCAATTTCTATTTCAAGATAAAACCTGCCTCATCTCTCCCTCTTGCATTACAACCTTACCATGCTGTTTACATACTGTCCAGCCACTGAACAATATTTGTGTCTATTCTCTCTTAAATAATTCAGTATAATGTTTATTTAAAGATTAAACCTGCCTCTTTTCTAGTTCTTCTATTGCATCCTAACCAAGCTGCTTACATATTGTCCAGCCACTGAACAATATTTGTGGCTATTGTTTCTCAATGTATACAGCCTAATGTTTATTTGAAGATAAAACCTGCCTCATCGCTCCATCTTATTTTGCAACCTAACCAAGCTGCTTACATACTGTCCAGCCACTGAACAATATTTGTGGCTATTGCCTCTCAGATACTAGACATTAATTTTTATTGCAAGATACAACTTGTCTCTTTCCATTTGCTGCCTGTTCAAATTATTGCATACTGTCCTGCCACTAGTCAATTTCTATCAAACATATAACTGAAGTCTATAGTTTGAACCTTTTGTGAAAAATTAGGGGTCCTGAAGTAGGAGGGGGTTCAGGGAATGTGAGGTTGGGTTTTTTTCACTCTATTTTGACATTTTATTAAACGTTTAAGACAACTGTGGTATTATGAAAGAGAAGCTTACAAACTATACTATTAAAAGATTGTGCCACTGGCCAGTTTCTACAAAGTTGAGAGTGTTAGCTTTATTTTTGTAAGACTATACTTTTCTATAGCATTTAGATCTATTGTGGCTGCTACTTCCACTGTTCAACACAGGTCTATTAAAAAAATGAGGTGTCACAACCCAAACTACCTACAAAAGCCTTTTTTCAGTTAAAAATAATCAGATTGGGGTGCTGCTGTTGTATTTAATTAAAGCTAAATGCAAAAGTTAAAAAATCCATTACACATCTAAAATATATCATGCCAGAATACAGTGTTGCTGATACTGTGTGTGAAAATTATACAATTTCATAAAACCACATGCAATGCAACTCAAATGCACCCCCAAGCATGTGTTTTAAAGTTTTTTTTTACACGTTTACCCTTGAAGTTGCATTAAAAGGACTCTCTCCCTTTGTATGACATTTGCAAACTTTTTCTTTGCTGTTCTTAATGTTCCACATGGCAGTGACCAGCTTCTCAAGTCCTTGTTTGAGAATATCAAGTCTACTAGAATTGAAAATGGCAAGAATTTAGTGTTGCCCTTAATATACTTGAACAGGGTTCAGTGCTACGTTTAGGTTTTGTGGGCTACAAGCAGGATTTTATGAGATCCCATAAATTATAAATTTGCTTATCCTTATTTATAAATTCTACCTACAAAGAAGAAATTATATACTTACCTTTCTACCTGTCTGCACTGCTGAAATACTATGTTACTACAGGACACAGTAGTAATGTAAAGGTGGATTGGAGGAACCACTGAGAACACAGAAGATCAGTACTCCCAAAGTGTTGGTTTCTTAGGAGGCTCTGAGGGTCAATCTTCATCCTTTAAGTATAGCCAAAGGCAAAACTTTTTTTTTAGTTGGATTAGAACACCTGTCAGGTTTATATTGCTATCTGTTTCCCATTAAGGAGATTCACCATTTTTATTTGTCTTGTTTACCATTATCACCAAAAATGAAATCTTCCAATGGGGACGCTAGTTCTGGTAACCTGGGGGCCCCCAATGGATTACTTTAATTTGTATGGAATTCCTCCCACTTCCTGTTTTGGCTATGGGAGAGGAGGTGAACAGAAATCTCCCCAATGGGACACAGATGGAAAAAAAAGACATGGGTTGTAACCATCCCTTACTCTATCCAAAATGAAAAAAACGTTTTGCTTATAGTTCTACTTTAAGAATATTATTTCTTTCTAAGTGCATAAAAAGAGAAACCAGAATGAAATATATTGAGAGCAGGAGCGAACTGACAACTCATGGGGCCCCCCAGGCAATAGGGGATCATGGGGCCCCTGTGTCCTTGCCCACACTCAAAGCACACCCAAAAAAAGCCTATAAAAGGTACCAGGGGCATTTCATGGGGCCCCCTACTGACCCTGGGCCCTCAGGCAGTGCCTGAGTGCTCGAATGGTCAGTCCGCCCCTGATTGAGAGTCAAGAAAACCTTTGATTACCACCTCTGTACAGACATGATAATAAATGGCTTTGTTGTTAAACAAAGACCTGTGGTCATGAATAATGGAATGTGACACGGTTTGTTTATAAGCAATGCTACACAGATCTGATGGGTCTTTTAGATAAATCCAAAGGCTTAGTTTACACATGCAACAGCCTCTGCAGTGGATTGCTTTTCAGAGGCATTTGACAGGCATCGCAAGCATGGCAGTTACGGCTGGGCCCCATTTGCCTGTGATGGTACTGCTGACTTAACACAAAGGGGGTGTTAATATTTGCTGTAAAACATCATGGCAGAAAACTGTAATAAATAAATAAATAAATAAATGAGATTTCTTCTTTAAAGTGAATGTAAAGGTAATTTTTTTGTAAATAACAAACGTAATACTTACTTGCTCTGTGCAATGGTTTTGCACACAGCAGCCCTGACATTTCTCTTCTGGGATCTCCCACTGGCGCTTCTGGCTTCTTCCCCCTTTCAATTGCCCCCCTAGCAAGCCACTTGCTATGCAGGCACTTGCGCAGGTTCAGCCCCATGCTTGGCTTTGTGTGTCTATTGATACACAAAGAGTGGCTCAGCCCTGCCCCTGCTGTCTCCTCACAGGTTGTGATTGACAGTAGCAGGAGCCAATTGCTCTGCTGCTGCCTCCATGTCCATTGAGGAGAGACAGAGGGAAGACAGCTGCTGCTCTCAGGCACAACGCTTGATTGAGATTGAGCTCAGGTAAGTATTTAGGGGTGGGCATGGGTGGGGGACACAAATGGTTTTTTACCTTAAAGCGGAGTTCCACTCAACCTATCAAAAAATAAAAGTCAGCAGCTACAAAAACTGTAGCTGCAGACTTTTAAAAAACAGCCACTTACCTGTTTCTCGGTCCCGTTGTGTTTCCCCCGCAGCTCGTTTCACCGGCCGTCCTGTATTTCAGGAGGCCAGCATCTTCAGTGTGGGCACCCGGCTGTGATAGCTTGCGGCTTCACAGCTGGGTACCCACTGCGATAGCTTGCGGCTTCACAGCCGGGTACCTGCTGCGCATGCGCGAGTAGCGCCGTGCTTCGTGAATGGTCCTGTAGTATTCTGGGACCTGTCACGTGTCCCAAAAGACTACAGGGAGGGAGGGAGGACACCTTCCGCTTCCAATCGCCTAGGCAATCGGACCGTAAGTGGGAGCGGGTACCTGTCAAATTCGGGTACCCGCTTCCCCCCGCTCCCCAAAGGTGCCAATCCTTAAAAGGGAGCAGTCCTTAAAGCAGAACTTCCCCTTTTGGGTGGAGCTCCGCTTTAATGACGAGAATACATTAAAGCGGAGCTCCACTCAAAAGCGGGAGCTCCGCTTGTTTACCTCCTCCCCCCATCCACTGCCATATTGGCACCTTTTGGGTGGGAGCGGATACCTGTTTTTGAAAGGTACCTGCTCCCACTTCTGGCTCAGTTTGCCGTGGCGAAGTGAGCCGGAAGTTTGGACCCCTCCTCCCTCTTGCAGTCTCCTGGGAACTTTCACAGGTCCCAAAAGACTACTAGACCAATCAGGAGGTCGCATGCGCAGTGGGCACCAGGCTGTGAAGCCGCAAGCTGTCACAGCTTGGTGCCCACAGTTGAGATGCCGACGCCTTGAAGGGATGGCGCGGGTGAGAACATTGCTGGACTTTGGGACAGGTAAGTGCAGGGGCGGAGTGACCATTCGGGCACTAGGGCACTGCCTGAGGGCCCAAGGTCAGTAGGGGGCCCCATGAGATGCCCCTAGTACCTTTCATAGGCTTTTTTGGGTGTGGTTTTGAGTGTGGGTGGGGACCCAGGGGCCCCATGATCCCCTATTGCCCGGGGGCCCCATGGCTTGTCAGTCCACCCCTGGGTAAGTGTGTGTTTATTAAAAGTCAGCGACTACAGGTTTTGTAGCTGCTGACTTTTTAATAAACACACAAATGGCTGGAACTCCACTTTAAGGTAAAAAAAAAAACCTGTCTTTATAACCGCTTGAAGGAAGCCCTTTTCAAGTATCTTGGACCCATTCTTGAGGCAAAAAATGGCCCCTCATAAGCCTTATTATTTTTTCACAGACAAAATGGTGAAAAAAGTAAGATAAATCATTTAAATAACACAAATATTATACACACAACAGTACACAACTAATAATCAATTACATATAAAAAAACACAAATACAAAGAACACTAAATGAAATAAACTACATCAAAAGCACCCCAAAACACAAACCCTTTAAAGAAAAAAAGAACAGATTTCTTTTTTTCAGTGTAGCAAATTTCATCTAAGCAGTTCCATGAGCAAAACTGAGAATTCCTGGCAGGCAAATTTCGCAGTGAAATCACTCGGCTCTATTCTACGTTCTGCCGGTACAGAGAAGCAAAGACTTATTTTTTATAACTATTTTGTGCTTTTTTTTTTAGAGTCCCGTCAGTTATGTTTATGTCGTTCTGTCTCAGTGTCCCTTGCTGTCATTCTCTGCAGTAAATCAATGTCCATCTCCCATGACTCTGAACTCTGTCTCACATGGCGGAGGATTTGGAAGCAGGGACTGGGGCCTCCTCAGAGGAAATGCCACAAGCTAAAATCACAGGAAGTAATCAAGCCCACAAGAGAGCGTAGACTGCAGAATACACATGGAGGAGGCGAGGGAAGAAAAGCAAATCCGTCTCCTCGCTGGGTGTCTCATTGTTTCAGCAAAGCAAATCCGTCTCCTCGCTGGGTGTCTCATCTTCAGCACAAGTTAAAACATTTTGTATTAGCATTCAGAAAGTTTTGACGTTAAGTTTACATATCCATTGGGACAACTTTAGAGGAAAAAGATCAATACTACAACGAAATTCCAGTAAAGTAAGAACAAAAACCTCCTTTTAATGACTCGTTCACACCAACCCGCATGCACAGTGGTGTGCGTTGTGTAGGAGCGACAAAAGGCATTGCGGCTGAAGGTTTTTTTACTTTCATGCATTCTATGCTTAACATTCAAACACCTTCTGTGTGCAGCTAACCTCCCCACCCTCCCACCCCCCCCCAATACTTACCTGAGTCCGATCTCGATCCAGCGTTGTGCATGAGAGCAGCAACTCTCCCAGTTTTCTGCCTCCTCATTGACTCTGCTGCTGTCAATCACAGCCTGTGAGGAGGCGGTGGGGGCAGGGATGAGCGGCGCTCTGTGTTTTTTATGGACAAACAGAGCCAGCTCAGGAGTAAGTATGCATGAGTGCCCCCATAGCAAGTGAGGGACTCAAGAAGCAGGGACTGACTGGCAACTTTTGGCCTGAACCAGAGGCCTGAGGTGCAACAACTCTGCCCCCCTTCTACTCTCCCTCTTCCCTACCTCCTTCCGACCCCCATGCCAGGCTGAAGCTCTGCTCCAGGTACTCTCTGCTCACTGGGCAGGTCAAGCTGGACAATGCCTGCTGCACCAACACCAGACTCCCAAACTGGTCGGCAGGTGGCGGCTGGGGGCTGCAGGGTTGAGCCAGAGCACAGCTCAATCAGGGGTGTCTGGAGGAGTAGAGCCTCCATTCTCAGACATGGTGTACACCATCCATGCCAAGGGAGCGGCCTGCACTCTGTCTACACCCTCATTCTGCACTTGGTAGGACACCAGCGGGGATTTTTTAATACTCTTCACCACAAAGCCTTTAGGCATATCTGTGTCAGAGATGGTGCAGCCTTTTTACAGGGCATCGGATTAGCCCGGGGTAATTTCCCCCTGGCCCAGGCCATCCCTGCCATGAAGAGTAAGATCAGGGCTGCTCTGTCCAAAACAATTGCACAGACTTTTAAAAAAATATCTCCAGTATCACTTTCATTCAGCACTATGCACCACAACACTGAAGTCAGGTGATGTTCGGTAAGATGCAATATGTCAAAATGTAAAATAATATATTCATTTCCACATTGAATTTCAATTATTTTCAGCTTACTTCTACTAATCAATGATTGCAGACAGCAATGTACCACAGGATGTGTAGTCCTTAGAAATGAAAGAAACCAATAAAAAATAAACAGAGGGGAAGCTGCTAAGGATGCAGGGAGTGTAGGACGTTGTGGAAAGAGACAGCCAGCATACAAGCAACACTCACAATATGTAAGCGTACATTGGATTGTCAAAATACCTATTGTGCATGATGCTGATTTTACAAAATAAAGTGTATGTTGTGACCATAGAACTCCTTTAACACCTTCCCGCCCAACCTATAGCAGATTGATGGTTGGGCGGGACGCTCCTCCTTCTGAGTGGGCATCATATGATGTCCTCTCAGAAGGTGCCACTCACGCAACCATGGGGCTGCACAGTGGCGTGACCTGTCACCGGCTGTGTCCACCTGACACAGCTGATAACTGATCACTACACCAGCCTGCTGCCAGTGCCATGTGATCGCTGTGACCAATCACAGCAGATCACATGACAATTGTAAACAATGGATGGCTTCCTTTCATGCCATCCATTGTATACAATTGTGTTGTTAGCTGTGATTAGTCACAGTGATCACATGGTACAGACAGGGCCAATCACAGCCGATCTGTACCATGTGATGAGCTTAGGCCAATTACAGCTAATCACAACAAAAGACACTGAATTCATTATTTTGATTCAGTAAAAATGGTTGCTAATATCAATGAAATCCATTGGTATAAGCAGTCTTAATGTGTAAAAAAAGGGGAAAAAATATAAGAAAAAAGAAAAAAATTTTTTAATGATTTTATTTTTTTCTTTTTAACATACTGTCACCAGTCAGTCCCCCTGATCACCACCACACCATTTATATGATAATGCTGTACTAGACTGGTGACAATATGTAAAAAAATAAAAAATAGTGACATTTTTCTTTTGTTAATTTCTTCATTTCCAAAAACATTGTGGCAAAAACTTAAAAGCTTCAAAAAACTCTTATTAAATACGGTACCTTGGACTGTCTATCTTCCAAAAATGGGTCATTTGGGGGTATTTGTACTATCCTGGCATTTTGGAGCCTCAGAAAATGAAATTGACCTTCAGTACATCAGGATTGATCGATTGTCAAATATATTTACAATAATTTGTGGACTCCATAAATAGACTAAATAATATACATGAGTTGGGTTATTTTCATCAAAGAAACGTAGCAGAATACATTTTGACCAAAGAAACAAATAAAACGTGTTTTTCTTCAAAATTGTTGGTCTTTTTTTTGTTTATTTTGCAAAAATAAAAAACTCAGTGGTGACTAAATACCACCAAAAGAAAGCTTTATTTGTGTGAAAAAAATTATAAATGAGTACAGTGTAGCATGTCCGTGAAATTGTCATTCAAAGTGCAACAACGCCGAAATCTGAAAATTGCTCCGGGCAGGCTTTGGGAGCAGCACATTGAAGGTTTTTTGCCTTTTTGCAGATAATGCATTAACGTCTTTTACTCTTCAAAACCACTTTAATAGATTGTAAGCTCTCCCACCTGGTTTCCTCCTTTTATATTATAATATAGACTTTGAGCTCTTCCACTTCTGTATCCCCCTTATACCCTAATAAACTGTAAGCTCTTCCGCCAACTATATCCCTCCCTTATACCCCAATAGAGGGTATGCTCTTCTACCTTCCGTATCCTCCTCTATATCTTAATATAGTAGACTGTAAGCCCCCACGTGTTCTTTATCACTGGTTTATACTCTACTCGATAGTAAGCTCCTTCACCTTCTGTACCACTTTTGCATACCAAATAGATGGTAGGCTCTTCCACCTTCTGTTTCCAACTTTATTCTGCAATAGATTGTGAGCTCTTCTGCCTTCTATTTGCAACTTTATTCTGCAATAGATTGTAAACTCTTCTGCTTTATTCTGCAATAGAGTGTAAGCTCTTCCACCTTCGGTTTCCAACTTTATTCTTCAATAGAATGTAAGCTCTTCTGCCTTCTGTTTCCAACTTTATTCTGCTATAGATTGTAAGCTCTTCTGCCTTCTGTTTCCAACTTTATTCTGCAACAGATTGTAAGCTCTTCTGCCTTCTGTTTCCAACTTTATTCTGCAATAGATTGCAAGCTCTTCTGCCTTTGTATCCTCCCTCATATTTTAGAGAATATAAACTTAGTAATCCTGGACTCCATGCACCCAGGAAGATATGTCAAGGTACTTCTGTTTCCAAATTTATTCTGCGATAGATTGTAAGCTCTTCTGCCTTCTGTTTCCAACTTTATTCTGCAGTAGATTGTAAGCTCTTCCGCCTTCTGTTTCCAACTTTATTCTGCAATAGATTGTAAACTCTTTTACCTTCTG